CTGAGGCAGCTTCTCAAAGGATGTGCCAATATAAACAGGGCAGTGATGAACTGAGCTTAGACATTACTTGCATTTACTACTAGGATTTTTAATTTATAACTGAGTACAATAAGTACGTTTAGTTGTATAGCCGCTCCGTAATAATGGGCAAAATACCTTAGCTAGAATAAGTCAGCATGGGCAACTAGGTCACGACTGTTCAAGAGTAAGATAACTTTTCAACGTTACTATGAATTAGATATTAGCTCTTTTACTAAGCAGATCAAGTAGATTTAGGCGTAAGCGCTGCGTGGTAGAAGGCAAAAAAACCGGTATATTGGGATGGGTCAACTAGGTCACGATTTTCCAAGAATATTAACTAAAAGATAACTTTTCAATGCTTCTGTGATTAGAATTAGCTTTTTGTGACTACTATGATAAATGAAATAAATGTTTATGTTTGTTTTAAACATTTTTTGCCATAATTTGTTGGCTATGAAGCGACCAGAGGTTTCAGTACGAACTGATCGAAAGTGCGTATAAAACGTCTGAGCCTGGATACGAAAGATCCATGGGCACGAAACGACTGGCATGTAATAGCAGAGTAAACTAATCTATGCTGGAAGAAGCAAAATCTAAAATAAAATTCATTCATCCTTGTTATGCATACAGTTCTTTGAGGAAAGAAACATTGGCAAAAACAAATGACTATCATTGGAATTGTAAAAGCTTTCTTTTAAGCTGCTTAGAACAGGTAGATTAATTTCTAAGAGTGCTGTTTAATGAAATTGAAGCACAGGTGACCACCTCGTGCATTGTCAATAGCTTCATTGCAACACAATAGTGTCAGAACCGTCTCTCTGTTGGCTAAATAATTTAAAGTCTAATTGAAATTTGGAAAATTTCTCTATGCTTTCAAACTGAGCTAGATATAGATAAAGAGAAATTTTCAACTGTACCGATAATTTTAGGTTGACATTTGAATAAAATATTGTAAATCCTGATGGACCCTATTTTCTCTCTTACATTGCAAAGGAAAGTCGGAGTTTGAGTCTCCTATCAGTGCCCGTCTTCAACGCTATCCAGCATTTAGTATGTACTAATAATATATAACAATATATAATCATATATAGTGCTCTTATGCCTCCTACAGAAGATAATAGTCACAAATTAAAAATCTGTATCGCTTGAAATATCGTTTCTTTACAAGCCAAGCTTATAAAACGAAAAAGAAAGTTTGGATCGTTCAGTGCGGCCATTTTCTTACTGCGTTTTTTGTCCTGTTCCACAGTGTATTACCGTGGCATATTTTGAGCGTTATCGTGACCTTATTTAGTAAAATGACATTGTAGTAGAATAATAAATAATAATTCATTCACACCTCATTAAGCATACAGTTTCTTCATGAAAAAAAAAAAACAACAACAAAAACGGCAAAAACAGTCGACTATCTATGACCCCAGTTCTGCCTTAGTGAAATACCGGATTAAATGGAATCGTTTTTAGAATAAATAGTACAGGTAGAATGATATCCAAGGGTGCTTTTATTTATTTATTTATTTATTTTTATTTATTTATTTGAGGATTTGTACCAAGTACAGGAGCAGAAACAATAAGACACGAGTTCCCTACGAGGTTTAAGCTCCAACAAACCCCACCCATCCCACCTCAGGGCAGGACATCCATCACACAGTAATCTCGTGCGTGGGAAATTAACGTCACCTACCCCTAACCCTGCAGGAGAAGGGACCTCCATCANTCTGACAGAGTAGTTCAAAGTTTAAGTTGACTTTCGTAACTCTTTCCTTCATGTCCCTAACTGAGCTAGTCACAAAAGCCTGAAGGATTTTAACTGTCCGGTTTTTTGTAAGATAATCTTATCATTAACAAACTGCGAAACTCGGAGCAGCTCTTTTATCTTTTTGGTATTGATGCTGTCTGCGTCGGCCATTAAGTTGTGATGTGCGCTTAACATTTAGACATGTTCAACTAAATCCGCTAGATGTATTGAATTAGAATAAAGATAAACCTTACGATTGTATTTCAAATAATATAGTGCTCACCTGTAGCCAGAGGAAGAAGTACAGCGAGAAAAGCTATGCGGAAACAAAGCTCGAGATCGAATTGCGACACGTTGCGACCGAAACTGTCACGGAATACCGCACGATTGTTTTGCATGACCGGCCATTTGTAACAGAAAGCTCATCCGACAAAAGATGTCTTTGTTCCCTTGCTATTCAAGCTCGTTTTTGCATAATTTGTGGCATGTCGTCATTACATGTAAATTTGTAGTTTTCAATCAGTTTATGTTAATTTCTAAATGATATCCCATTTAGTTCTTTGCAGAATTTATAGCTGTTTAAGTGTGCTTGTCTGTTTGTTCGTCAGTTTGAATCTTTGTTGTGCACTCCAGGGCTATCAGCTGTTAAGGTAAAAACTGCCTCTTTACAAAAGTTCTTCAAGGGAAATTTCGTTTTAAAAGTCATCATGTTAATGCCAGTTTTCCAATGAGAATTTTGTACGGTTTCTTATACTAGATGTGAGCTCGAATGTATCCTTATTCTCCCGCATAATCTTATATGTTACTTAAAATTGTACTTCAGCTCTTCTTCTAGAACTTCAGCTTCGAGCTTCTTCAGCTACTGCTCATTTCCTTTATTCTGACGAGCTAAAAATTTGTTTAAGCGGTGAGAGAGTAAGGAGTAATTAGATTCCAGTCATTTTTTAGCGCTAAAGCGTTATTCCGCAGTGACCGATGTCCCCCCTCTTACGGCTAAAAAAGGTAATGTTTTCTCTTTTCCTTTGTTAAGCCCACTTTTCTTTTATCTCTTTTTCATTTAGTTCTCTTTCATCCAGTGATAGTGACGTCTGCTGATAATATCCACAGCTGAGAGATTGTCCTCAAAGTTTCACATTTGCCCTCTAAGCTTCGCCCCTCTCCCAAATATTCATTATTCAAACGGTAACTCGACCGCGGACGTTATCAGTCGACCTACCAGCTGCCTGAAGAAAATATAGTAAAATGACCTCGGCCCAGGCAAAACTGGGTCTTAAACACTTTCTTGGAGCAAAGAAAGGTTGACTTTTTGTGTAAATGGACAGTTTCTGGGGTGAAATACAGGAAGATGATAGCTGAGTGAACTGACTCTGCTGGAATGGGCATAATCCATAATACTTAGTCCTTACCTCATTATGCATACAATTCTGTTATGAAAAATAACATGACATCTTCGCGACGAACTTTGTCTTAGAATAGTACCGGGTTTAATGGAAATCTTTGTACTAAATTGTATAGCTAAAATTACTGAGTAAATAGTACGGGTAGAATAATTTCCAAGAGTCCTTTAACTTGAAATTGAAGCAAATACTACCACCTGATAGCTTTACAGAAACAGTCGTTTCAGACCGTCTGTTTGCTGAATAATTCAAAGTTTAAACTGACTTTTGTAAATTTCTCTTAGCTTCCTCACTGGGCAAGTTATAAAAGCATAAAGGTTTTCAACTTTCCCGTTCGTTGTAAGATGATCTTTTCAGGAAAAATATGCGAAAACCGGAGTAGCTCTCCTATCTTTTTGGTATTGATGCTGTCTGCATTAGCATTTAAGTTGCGATGGTGTGCGGAAGTCTTTGGACCGGTTATTTAAGCAAAGTTTAGGCGTTGGTTAACAAAACCGCGTTCTACCCATCTTTATTTAAGCCGAACCTTTTATCTGAACATTTATTTTTTGTGAACAGTGACAAGAGGGCCGAAAACTAACAGTCGAAGGACATTTATCTAATCATTTAGTCAACCCTTTGACTGAGAGAATACCTGAGGCCCATTGCTAAGGTAGAACCGCGGTTTGGGTTAGACCTCGTTTGAATAACAGGCATTTAGACTTCAGGACTCAAACGTGAAAGATGTTTACAACCCGTTTCGCTAAATTTGATAATCAAAACTAAAAGAAAACGTTGCTGATGCTGTCTGCAGTGGGGATGAAGTTGCGATGGCGTGCGGAAGTCTTAGGCTTTAGAACTCAAAAGTGACAGATATATCCAACCAATTCCGCTTAATTTAATAATTAAAATGATGAACAAACGTTATGAGTAGATTTCAAATAATACGGTGCTCACCTGAAGCCAGAGGAAGAAGTGCAGCGAGAAAAGCCACACGGGAAGAAAGCTCCAGATGAAACTGCGCCATGTTTTGATTTAGTGTGTCACGGTATGCGATCACAATTGTTTTACTTAATAAGCGGCTATTTGAACAGAAAACTCAAGCTCCTCTCGGAAACTCGTGGTTGTCAATCAGTTTATGTTAATTTTTAAATGATGATATAATTAGCTCTCTGCAGTATTTATAGTAGTTACACAAATGTATGTGTGGGTCAGTTGGTTCGGCAGTTTGAATTTTACCCTCTAATGCTATGGATGTAGCAGTATTACTTTCACTATTGGGATTCCCAGAAAATCTAAGTACCTTTTATAACATATCCAACAGAACGCGCGCTCTGATCCGGCGATTCAGTGTCTACTATTTGCTTATGGGTGTTTGCTGCTGACGTGTGCAAATGCATTGACTAGTTATCGATATATGCGTTATTGACGAAGCGTGAGGTCAAGGGGGCTGGATACTGGCCGAGTGCTTTCTTCGTGATCTCATGGACCGAGAAAAAGTCCAGCGGTCAAAATGGGCCCTTTTTACTCGCTCGAATAGCCAATCCGAAGGCCGATTACTACAAAATTCACAGAATAAAGAAAATTTTAACTTTGAGATTGGTGAATATGACCACAGTTTAAAAAAAATACTGATTTCAATCAATCAATCAATCAATAATTATGTGAATATAAATCTTTACGCTTAAATAAACTCTATACTTTACTTTGTAAAATTATACAATTGTTGAATGTTAGACAGTTCAATGTGCTTTGCACGTTTTAATTTTGCGTTAAGCGTTAAACAATCAGTTTATTTATCATTTCATTAACAAAAATCTACTATACAAAATTATATCTTATTTCAGAGAGAAAAAAGGCAATTTCATAGATTGACGTTGTGTGACCTCATATAATTTGATAATTGAATATAATGAGAACTAAATCTAGATATTGGAGGTAAACCCAAAAGGCACGTTAACACTCCAAAACAAACCATAGAACTACAAACCTCCACTTTGAATCCAACGATTTTGACAAGAAACGATAACTTTAAAACTTCACATGGACTTTTAAGAAAAAATATAATGAAATATATAAGTTACAAAAAAACTTTCCTTTACCTTGAACTACAAAATACTACAAAACTCTATAACTGTAATAAATTTTTTAGAGTTTTTGTGTTCTAAATCTTTCTACATACACCGAAAATGTAGTATCTCTCTCTTTTAATGGGATAGTTTGAAAACTACGATAACACAATTAATGATATTACCATTGTGCTGAGCCGTGTAGGGACACATGTTTGTGCTTCAAGTTACCATAACAGAATCTGGGGTAAGTACATCTATTATCAAACTTTGAACCTCCTTCAGCTGACAACACCTTCAGTTGTATTGACTTATTTTACCTACTTTTACTTAAAATATTTTATGGATAATACTAAAATATAGAAAACTTTATAAAAAACTTCGTTTTGCAAATATATTTGAGGGAAAGGCCTTCTACTTAGAGGTAAATTTACATATTATAAAAATTTGAATATGAAGAAAAAAAGCTGCCGAACACAGCTCAGTCATAAAAACACTCGAGGATGTAGATCACTTCTGTCTGTTACACCTTTTATACTTTGCAATGCTCTTTAACATTCTGCAAAGTTTGAGTAGGTGCTGAAAGAGTCTAAGTAAGCCACAACTGTCTTGTAACAGAACATGTACTGCTCCTGAAAGATAAATAAACAGCACACCTTAAGCTCACGAGGGATATACTATTGAATAGTGGGCACCCAGCACTGTGCAAAGGAAGCTTAGGAAGAAGTAAAAATAAGCAAAAACTATTCAACATGACAAATAATGAACTGCTCAGTATAAAGGAAAACTCAGTCTTAGCAAGAATGACGGGCGGAAGATTTTAGGTGCACGTGATAACCCTTACCACAACCCCAGTATGAAAAGGCACATGTGGTATTCTATTACGTTACTAACAGGCGCCGGAGAAGACGTAATCTGTTATGCCAATCTAAATCCGAGTAAAGTAATGACATTTGACACCTGTCGTCTTACCAGAGTGTTGACTGCACCTGGTCTCTTTGCTCGAACAAGTTTTACCGTCTGGAAAACATCAACTGTTTGTTCAATCTTGACTCGTTCGATCACTGACATTATAGTAGCTACACAGCCGCTACGGCCAATACCATCGCTGTAAAAAGATAAAAGGAATATCAATCAAGAAAGTGGAAACGTGGACTCTGGTGGAACGATGTTACAGTTTCTCGCCTCGTTTCTTTAGCCTTAATTTTTCAAAAGTCTTGAGTATTAATGTAGATGGTGCAGATTGCAGACAGGGTAAATTGTTTTATGTTCAGATGACAATCTGAGCTTGTCGTACAAAAAGTACGCGTTTGCAGTTATATATGATTCAAGCATCTGACAAGTTACCATACGCTATTCTCATGAGGTATAGACCGATTGAACCATTATTAGCCAAACCCCTAGCGGGTTTAGGGTCATGTCTAGTAAAACATTTCAACGNTTTTTGTGAACAGTGACAAGAGGGCCGAAAACTAACAGTCGAAGGACATTTATCTAATCATTTAGTCAACCCTTTGACTGAGAGAATACCTGAGGCCCATTGCTAAGGTAGAACCGCGGTTTGGGTTAGACCTCGTTTGAATAACAGGCATTTAGACTTCAGGACTCAAACGTGAAAGATGTTTACAACCCGTTTCGCTAAATTTGATAATCAAAACTAAAAGAAAACGTTGCTGATGCTGTCTGCAGTGGGGATGAAGTTGCGATGGAGTGCGGAAGTCTTAGGCTTTAGAACTCAAAAGTGACAGATATATCCAACCAATTCCGCTTAATTTAATAATTAAAATGATGAACAAACGTTATGAGTAGATTTCAAATAATACGGTGCTCACCTGAAGCCAGAGGAAGAAGTGCAGCGAGAAAAGCCACACGGGAAGAAAGCTCCAGATGAAACTGCGCCATGTTTTGATTTAGTGTGTCACGGTATGCGATCACAGTTGTTTTGCTTAATTAAGCGGCTATTTGAACAGAAAGCTCAAGCTCTTCTCGGAAAATCGTGGTTGTCAATCAGTTTATGTTAATTTTTAAATGATGATATATTTAGCTCTCTGCAGTATTTATAGTAGTTACACAAATGTATGTGTGGGTCAGTTGGTTCGGCAGTTTGAATTTAACCATCTAATGCTATGGATGTAGCATTAATACTTTCACTATTGGGCTTCCCAGGAAATCTAAGTACCTTTTATAACATACCCAACAGAACGCGCGCTCTGATCCGGCGACTCAGTGTCTACTATTTGCTCATGGGTGTTTGCTGCTGACGTGTGCAAATGCATTGACTAGTTATCGATATATGCGTTATTGACGAAGCGTGAGGTCAAGGGGGCTGGATACTGGCCGAGTGCTTTCTTCGTGATCTCATGGACCGAGAAAAAGTCCAGCGGTCAAAATGGGCCCTTTTTACTCGCTCGAATAGCCAATCCGAAGGCCGATTACTACAAAATTCACAGAATAAAGAAAATTTTAACTTTGAGATTGGTGAATATGACCACAGTTTAAAAAAAATACTGATTTCAATCAATCAATCAATAGTTATGTGAATATAAATCTTTACGCTTAAATAACTCTATACTTTACTTTTGTAAAATTATACAATTGTTGAATGTTAGACAGTTCAATGTGCTTTGCACGTTTTAATTTTGCATAAAGCGCTAAAAAAATCAGTTTATTTATCATTTCATTGACAAAAATCTACTATACAAAAATATATCATATTTCAGAGAGAAAAAAGGCAATTTCATAGATTGATGTTGTGTGACCTCATATGATTTGATAATGGAATATAATGAGAACTAAATCTAGATACTGGAGGTAAACCCAAACGGCACGTTAACACTCCAAAACAAACTATAGAACTACAAACCTCCACTTTGAATCCAACGATTTTGACACGAAACGATAACTTTAAAACCTCACATGGACTTTTAAGAAAAAATATTATGAAATATGTAAGTTACAAACAAACTTTCCTTTACCTTAAACTACAAAATACTACAAAATTCTATAACTGTAATAAATTTTTTAGAGTTTTTGTGTTCTAAATCTTTCTACATACACTGAAAATGTAGTCTCTCTCTCTTTTAATGGGATAGTTTGAAAAGTACGATAACACAATTAATGATATTGCCATTGTACTGAGCCGTGTAGGGACACATGTCTGTGCTTCAAGTTACCATAACAGAATCTGGGGTAAGTACATCTATTATCAAACTTTGAACCTCCTTTAGCTGACAACACCTTCACTTGTATTGACTTATTTTACCTACTTTTACTTGAAATATTTTATGAATAATACTAAAATATAGAAAACTTTATAAAAAACTTTTTTTTGCAAATATACTGGAGCGAAAGGCCTTCTACTTAGAGGTAAATTTAACATATTATAAAAATTTTAATATGAAGAAAAAAAGCTGCCGAACACAGCTCAGTCATAAAAACACTCGAGGATGTAGATCATTTCTGTCTGTCACACCTTTTATACTTTGCAATGCTCTTTAACTTTCTGCAAAGTTTGAGTAGGTGCTGAAAGAGTCTAATTAAGCCACAACTGTCTTGTAACAGAACATGTACTGCTCCTGAAAGATGAATAAAAAACAGCACACCTTAAGCTCACGAGGGATATACTATTGAATGGTGGGCACCCAGCACTGTGCAAAGGAAGCTTAGGAATAAGTAAAAATAAGCAAAAACTATTTAACATGAAAAACAATGAACTGCTCAATATAAAGGAAAATTCAGTCTTAGCAAGAATGACGGGCGGAAGATTTTAGGTGCACGTGATAACCCTTACCCCAACCCCAGTATGAAAAGGCAAATGTGGTATTCTATTACGTTACTAACAGGCGCCGGAGAAGACGTAATCTGTTATGCTAATCTAAATCCGAGTAAAGTAATAACAGTCACAACTTTTGACACCTGTCATCTTACCAGAGTGTTGACTGCACCTGCTCTCTTTGCTCGAACAAGTTTTACCGTCTGGAAAACATCAACTGTTTGTTCAATCTTGACTCGCTCGATCACTGACATTATAGTAGCTGCACAGCCGCTACGGCCAATACCATCGCTGTAAAAAGATAAAAGGAAATCAATCAAGAAAGTGGAAACGTAGACTCTGGTGGAACGATGTTACAGTTTCTCGCCTTGTCTCTTTACCCTTAATTTTTCAAAAGTGTTAAGTATTAATGTAGATGGTGCAGATTGCAGACAGGGTAAATTGTTTTATGTTCAGATGACAATCTGAGCTTGTCGTACAAAAAGTACGCGTTTGCAGTTATATATGATTCAAGCATCTGACAAGTTACCATACGCTATTCTCATGCGGTATAGACCGATTGAACCATTATTAGCCAAACCCCTAGCGGATTTAGGGTCATGTCTAGTAAAACATTTCAACGCGTAATAACAACAAGAAGAAGCGTGCTCTTTACCTGCACTGAAAAACAATGACTCCGTTTCCTGATTGTTGCTGAGAGTGCTGAACAGCGGTCATCAGGTCGAGTATCTCCTGAGCTGTAAAGTTGACGTCTTCTTAGGAAGCTAAAGAACAAATTTAATTAGAAAGCTAGTGATTTTGATAAGTCGTCACGAGGGCCACGTGATCGTATAAACAGGTCTCTCTTTTGGTTGTTGCTGTTGAGAACTTGAAATCCTCCAGAGATTTCAATCCGTTGTTTTCTTCGTGGGGAAGCCTCAGAGAACTTGTAAGTACCTAAAAAAAAAATCTGAACTTCGCACTTTAAGAAAACACTGCAATTCATATCAATTTATTGTGTGTTTTTAGTTTTATTGTAGGTCTTCTAGCCTAAGCGTGAGAGGCGAAGAAGGTGTAATGAACGTATTTGTGAATTGAGTCGTGGGATTTTCTGTAAAATTCCTAAACACATTTTGTAGTGGTTACCCCTATTAAAAAAATCAATTTTCCATGCAGGATTAATTTCATTACGAGGAATGAAACATTGAATTTTGAAAAATAAAGAAGCAAAAGAAGAAAAGAAAGACTCCCACCGCTGGATTCCATAGTCATACAAAAGTACAGAAAATCTGATGCTAAATCAAACAATATCCTCTACTAAATATTTTCCTCTTTACTGATCATCTTTCTACCAGACACTGTACTGATGATGTTATGAAAAATTTTTCATTGGTCTCTCCTGATAGTGAAAGCGTTAAGGTCAAACTCCTGCGCATGGAAAACGTACAAACACTTCCTATTGTTATAGTAAAGGTTCCCCCCAAAGTCAGGTCTCGACACCAACGGTAGCTATAGCCCACTAGCCACAGCCTACTAGAAATTCAGTTTTGGCTCGTCGATTTCGATTTCCACTAGCAAATTTGGCTGGTAAACGAAATGACATTATCGTAACATCTAAGATGTCACCAGCCACTTGGCTAGTAGGTTGAAAAGTTAGTGTCGAGCCCTGAAAGTAATCAGATAAAAGGGGATCTAAAAATTCTAGAACAAGCGAACCGTACCGCTGCATTCTTTACGCTGAATCGTCGGATAGCGATATTGTTAGAAGTCTCTTGAGATAAAAGCTGGACGGTGACTTCCCCATACTTGGCGGATTCCTTGCTTGGCCAGTATTGTGGGTAGTTCTATAAAGACAAAAGCAGTGCTACTAGGAGATTCGGTGATTCCATTAACTGAATATATTTAAAATTACGATAGGAATCTAAAAACT